CAAACCGGAAGATGAACTTTATCAATTATGTTATTAATTCTTATTTATAATTTACTAATGGTTAATTTAGCTTTAAAATGTCATCAAATTTCTAAGTCCAGTTACTCTGGAAAAATAATGTAGAAGTTATTATCCGTGATAAGCGTGATCTTAATAGCATTTATGATGTGGCTCCCTTGCTATCTTTTCGTATATTATAATTGATATGTTTTCACTAAAAACCTTTTTTAACATTAAAAAAATAAAAGAGTTGCACTGAAGTATGCTAGTTTTAGAGGAAAAGAAAAAGGCAAGTTGTCCTCGAAAAAGAAGTGCAAATACATAGTGCCAAGTGGTATGATTGGTCGATACCCCATTCATAATTGTTAGTATAGTTACTAAAAATTATTTATTATTGACAATACTATTTTTTTTTTTTAAAAAAAAAAATCCATGTTTTAGTCCAACGATAATATTGTATTAAAGCTGAACTTGGGACAACATGTAAGACTTGAAGAGGAAATTCTTATTGTTGGGCAAGGCAAGGAATCTGAGTGCTTTAAACATCAATTGACACAACGTGCACATCTGAATGAGAGAGATTAGAATGTCCACCCATTCACCCTAAATATTTTACTTCATTAACACCAATCCACCAGATGTCTCGGGTCATTGTCTATTACCACAATGCTCCAAAGAACGTCAGTGCAAAATCGGTGGGTTTAGAACCGTCCTCCAAATTGTTCGTGGACAATTGCGAGATTACAATATAACGAACCATACAAACAGATATCTCAAGGTCATCATTTATGACATCCATGCACCAAGAACTACCCAATTTGAATGATATCACTGCCATGCAAGTGGAACCACTATCACGGTGTTTGTTGTAAATAAGAATTTCTTACACTTATAAAAATTAACTACTATAATACTCCATCATTGTTTATGTAATTTTTAACATAGTTATTTGAATTTGATGTATGTAGTCCTTATGAATTAGAGGAAAATGCACCTATGAGTTTTGGAGTTGCTCCTCGAACACATGTATCAGAAATCGGACATTCACTTAGGAGTATGACTGTAGAATGTACTCATTATTTGACCTTACACTGAAGGGATGAAAAATTATCCATTTCAAAATCATTATTGCTCTATTTGGAACATGTTTGGAAGGAAAGATCAATCTACTTTCACTTATTACACCACCTTTAGCACTTAAGGTTGTATGATGGCAGTAATAATAAATCAAAGTCATTTCAGCAATATGTACTAGAGTATAATGCTTTTACGAGTTTTGGTGCTACACCGGATCCAAGATTACTAAGTGGAAAGGGTCCTACATCATTCACTATTCAAGGAGAATTGCGTCGTCGAACAAGATCGCTCATACCACAAGAAGATCATGAACCAATGTATAGTCAATTGTACATTTATGATCCTAATTCAGCTTTAGATTTTTGTAGTCATAGAAATTTTAAGTTGCAAAGAGATATTTTGAAAATTATTCAAGACTGTTTGTTTCATGTAAATCCATTTCCAGATAAATTTTGAGCAAGCTTATGAGATTTTAAGTCAATCAGAATTAGCAAGTCAAAATGTACCTTCTTATCTTTGTTATAATCTAGCATTAGACCGATGGCGATATAATTTCCCTACAATAGACGAGCTTGCGGTAGATGGAAATGAGTCAAGTGGTATGAGAGACATTGTTTTACATCTAAGAGAAAATAATTATTTGATGCAAATCAATGAGTGTCACCTGATATATTTACCATTGCATTTTGTGTTATTGTTCCATCACAGCGAGCTTAGATGGGAACCTGAGTTGAGGCAATGAGAAGATTCTCTTGGTAGTCCATCGACTAACTCAATTGCAATATTTTTTTTATAGTTTGTTTTAATATCCCATTGAATATTCAACAATTTTGAAGGGGAGAAAATTGTTCCAAGAGTTTTTAGTAGATGCTTGGACCGCAACCAAACAAAATCGGTTGACAAACTATAAGTTAAATCAAACGAAACACCTTGCAGAACTTTACAATAGTCTTACAAATGTTTGTGCAGATGAGTTGAATTCTGAACAAATTGGTCAGCGAATGATTTTTCACTCTTCCTTTACTAAAAATGCAAGACATATGTTTGAAATCTTTAAGATTCAATAGCTATTACACGATATATTCAACACCCATTTATCTTTCTCACTATGGCAGCAAATTCTAGTTGGCCCAAAATTTCTTTAGCTTTGTTATCACCTCAAACAATTTATGGTCGTCCTGATTTAGTTGCCCGAGTTTTTGAGTTAAAGAGAAGATTTTTTATGAAGGATGACAGAAATAAAACAAGTATTTGAAAAAAAAAAAAAAGGTAGCACGTGTGTTTACAATCGAATTCTAAAAATGGGGACTACTACTAGGGACAACAGTGGACCAAGACGAGGGGAGTAGTCTACATCCCACCACCCATTTCAAAAATATTCTTTCACCTCTGATCCACCCACATTAGCAAGGAAAATTTTAATCCCCGTCCTATCCATAAGAATTAATTTCTCTAATTTTAATTAAAAAATTATAAAAAATAAATAATAAAACATCACAAATAGGTCTGCAAAAAGAATGAAACTCTATTATATAACAAATAGATCAAATAAAAGAGAATAATTATTTTTTTGTTTGATAAAGAGAAGAGTGTGTGTGGGTAGGGTTTGTGATATATATATATATATATATATAAATATAAAAGTGGGTGGAAGGGTGAGTGGGGTTTGTGTCATTGTGATATTAGCGAGGTGGAGTGAGTTTCAGTTCATCTCCTCTTCTATCCCCGCATAGGTTTATACCAATATTCTCATTTACGTCTACCGTTCAATACATATAGTCCATCCCCCGTCCAAATGGGGCAGGTTTGGACAAATACCTATTTTTTTCTAGTCCACTGTCATCCCTAACTGTCACATATGCATGCATTTTTGTTCCTTCATAGTTCAAACAAAATTCAAATATGTGCTCAGGTGGACAATGGGGTATGCACTGAATTTCCAGATCCTTAAGATAATCCTCTTCTTTTTGATACAATCAAGAGTTGTATGGTACATGGACTATGTGGTACTCAAAATCGAAATGCATCATATATAGAAAATGGTGAATGCACTAAGAAGTACCCACGAATATTTAAATAATCAACTAGTATGAAAAAAGATGAATATCTTGTCTATCATCGTTAGGGATGGCCGTAGACTGGGGAAAAACGGGTATTCGTCCAAACTCGTTCCGTTTGGATCGGGGATAGACTATATGTATTGGATGGTGGACGTATACGGGGATACCCGTATAAACCCATGCGGAGATGAAGGCGGGGATAGACTTACCCTTACCCCCGCCCCGTCTCTGCTATCCCCTTTAAAAATATAAATATAAATATATATATACTTCATAAGAATATATAAATTGCTTCATAAGAACAGTCATCACTATCATATTGCCACCTACTGCTTGTTGCACCATTTTCTTCTAGCTGTTGACATTGTAAAAAGTTGCTGATGGCTCCCATTAGTCTCCTATGTGGAAGTTGTGTTATACCTGGATGTCCTAATCCTGAATTATGCTCATGCATGAGTCTTATTTTTCTTTCGTTATTCCACACAATCCACAGCCTCAAATTGATTGTTTCATTTTAGACGAACATGAATCCTGGCATTGACATGAGACTGGTTCTTTTGTTTATTGCACAATCATGTGCTTGAATCTCCTCATTTACTTGTACTTGATTTTTCTGTTAGACATCGACTTCCAACCATGAATTAATCCAAATAGATGGAACATCAGGAAGTTACCATTTCAAGAGCTGAGCATCAGTTGGAACTTGAGATGCCAGAAGCCTCTAAAGAACTTAATGTTCCTCCTAAGCTGTTGCAATTTTCTTGCAATCATATTTGTTCATTCTCCAAACAAGAGTTTACTAGTACAGATTTGCAGCAGTGATCAAAGTTGACAGTGATGCTTTGTAGGCTGATATATTTCTATATAATGGTCATGACAGCTGAGATTGTAGATGTTATAGCAAACAACCTTGCCATCTTTACTGATGCTGCCCACTTGCTCATTGACGTCGCTGGATTTTTGATTTCTCTTTTTACAAATACAAATTTTTTTTTATGCAATTTTTATAATTTTTTATGTTTTATTTTCTTTATTAAATTACAGGCGTAAAGCTACATAACAGAAAAGTTTTCCCATTACGTTGTTTGTGTTATATTGGAATGTTATGCTACATTATGTTGTGTTAGATTATTTACAATGTTGTTGGATTATTTAAAATATTAGATTTGTTTAAAATTTTGGATTATGTTGACTTGGGTTTGGGCTTAGGCCGGGACGGGGACGGGGGATTAGAAATTTACCCGCGAACGGGGATGAAGATGAAAATTATACTCATTAACGGAGGTGGACCGGGGATGGACGAAGGTTTTTTAAACAGGTATGGGGATAAAGACTTACCCTCCGCCCCCGCTTTGGTCCACTGACATCCCAAATCATCATCATGATAATGATCGCGTCTATACAGTGTGTGAGAGCCATCAAGTTGATAATTGGAATATCATATCATACAATCTATATCTTTCTTATCTCTTCTATCATGTTACAAAATTAATGCTCAATTTTTAGTATTTCAGAGGATCCTTAGGAAGTATTGCTTTTCATTTGATAAATATGATAGTGTAGAATTTCGATATAGAGTATCATCTTTCTGATCACTTGTATATGTAATCCTAAGTGGATTATATGGTATATGCATAATATAGGATACACCATCTATACTTAGAACCATGGGTGTTCCATAAGCCGTGTTATGCATAAATCATACATGTAGCAATTCTACATTGCAACCATCATGTATGTTACGGTGGCACACATCTGGCAATCCTTAGGTTAAGTAAAATGAAATCAGAATTAGCAACATTTAAAGCTTGGAAACCTAAAGACACACACAACACCAGAAAACAATAAAACGATACAAGGCAAATCGGATTTTTTCTACACTACCAACAAGTTATCTAAAGTTACAATCCAATCACATCAAGTTACAACTCTAAAAACTAAATTATTAGACCTAGTTAGCTAATAACTTTGGCATTGGATTGCAGAGAAGATGACAATTGTTGATGAGGGAGAACTTAGCAGTAACAACAAAATCTTCAGTTCAAACAACAAAAATTTACAAAAACATAAGCCCAAGATAGAGTTAGCTAGGTACTGTGTGAGATCACTCTGGATATTATTACAATGTTTCTGTAGGCCATAAAGTAGCTACCAAACATGCCACTATATATGTTCAAATTCCTCTAGCTTACATGCTGTTAGCAGCACCGACCTTGCACGGCAAAGGGGACATGATCAACTTTCAAAGGATTTCCCAACACCATATCAGCAACCATTTCAGCAGTTCCCAAAGCCTGGTAATAATAGGAGACGTATAACAAGTGAGACTCATTATCTCTTAAACATGAAATGGAACTAGTGCAACTATGGATTTCACTGGATGTAAAGGAACCAACATGACTGTGTCATTCACATTGTGCTTTGAATTAAAACATCAATAATATGGAGACCTCAACAATCCACATCCATACGGGGAAAAATCGTGATAAAATGAGCCTAACTTCTTGCATCTAAGCAGCAAAAGGAGGAGACATGTAGAAAAATTACCAATGTTAGTCCTTCTCCTTCATGTCCTGTGGCAAGAAACAGATTGGACAACCCAGGAACTGGCCCAATCACCGGCTTCCCATCAGGCACTATAACCAAAGTGAACATATTTTGTTTATAAAATCAGTATTCCGACAATGGAGTATTAGCATTACTAATGCTGATATGAATAACAGGTCAGTATTTAATGTTTTGCATACTTACTGTATGGTCTCAACCCTACTCTCACTTCTCTGCTTTTGCTGTAATCTCTAAGAGATATTTCTTTTAAAGCAGGAAAGAACTCCCCAGCCCGCTCCCATATGCTGTTAAGGATAGACTCCTCTACTTCTGTGCCGAACCCAGCAAGCTGACGGCTGCTCCCTGGAAAAACAGATGTCAAACTGAAAATATTCAAGCAAGTGATCAACAGGACCTATCTTGAAAATGAGTAATAAAATCGGAAAAATCCACAAGAATGTGATCAGTTGGACCTATTTCAAATAGGAATTTTGCCATTACAGAAAAAGATATAAGAACACAAAACAATAAAATATCATAAACTGTTCCATTTCAATTAAGATTATGGATGTAGTATGCCGAACCACTATAGAACAAGGTTTAGGGAAAGAAACTGTAAAGAATGGTCAGGTATTTAACTCATCAACTGCTATCAATTAAAAATCACTGTTGAACCTCAAGAATCCTTTTGCTGGAACACCTCAGAAAGCCGGCTTCCAATCTCTTTTCTAACGCATGGAGCTCAATATTCCCCAAAATAGTTTCTTATCAGTAAAAAAAAAAGCTACCTTTTATATCTCCAAAGGCACTTTGTTGAAATACAAATGTAAAAAATCACAGCAATTAAGTTCATAGTCTATTGTTTGTATGATAATGAAAAAGAGTGATTCTAATGCATAGTACAGTAAATGAAGGAGAGTGCTAAAAGAAAGAGAGAGAGAGAGAGAGACAGAGGGAAGAAGCGTTAAAAGAAAAACAGAGCTCTAGGAGGGAACCAGGGAGAGGGAAAAAGAAGAAAAAGAAAACGATTTTATGGACAGATAAGATACCAAGAACAAGGTTTCCTGATGTGTCCATGGTGGCTGCCATGGAAATTGACGGAGTTTGTGCATGATAGATAGGTCCTGAATCAGAAGCAGAGGGTTGCAGAGTTGCAGCTTCATGATCAATATAACCCACCTCCATCAGACCATGATTGAGTTTAAAGCACTTAAAATTCTCTATCACAAGCAGGTGACCCTGTCATGCAGAACAGAAGGAGGTCAACTAAACGAACAAGTAAAACTTATACAGCAATTCTGGTAATGTATTTTTGCATCAAAATGCATAGGGTATTAAGAACACCACCTTTGTAGCTCATTTCACCCTTTTTCTTCTTTTTTTTTTTTCTGACAAACAATGGCTCCAAGCATTTAAAGAGCACCTAGTTCCCACTTGGCAATTGGTACTTCCATCCCCCAAAGAGCATGGTGAAACCACAACCACCCACGTAGTAGTTAGTTTATGATCCTTACAATAGAAGCCACTTTTATCTTAGTGTTACAAATCGTATAATGGGAAACATGTAGATGGAAAAGACCAAGACAATGTTTTATACACATTTGGAAACATATTTTGCATCAAATATGTAGTGAATCTAGTAACAGAAAATATAACCATTGACAACTTCTTCCGAGAAGGGTATCAGAAGTACTATATTGAATAAACATACAATATATGAGTTTTTATTTTCTAGGAGTTTGTAGAAAATAATGCAATTCCTACAACTGGAAAAGGCTTCCGACCTAATATCCTACTACTAACAAAGACCGACAGAAAAATATGGTAAACCTAATATCCTACTACTAACAAAGACCAATAGAAAAATAAGGTATTGGATAGACTTCAGGTGAAGGAATATGCCCGGATCCTTTGATTTATATGATGAAACTCAAACAAAATCATATAAAATTATGAACATATCCTTGAAACATCAATTGGTTTAGATTATCAGTTCCTGTAGGCTGGAAAATTATGGCAATGTTACTTCAACCACACAAGGAACTTGCTTCACAGCGAATTTTGCTACACAGTCTTCTCACATGCCAAATTCACTTATAATATACCCCTTCAGGCATAAACCAATCAAAGGAGGCAGTTCAAAACCAAATGAACTTAACCTATACATATATAAAGTCAACCTTCAAATCAAACCTCCTCGTATTGAAAAATATTTATGTACTTCTAGACCTCTAGGAGTATTAAATATTTCAGAGACAAAAGAATTTAAACACCTGTCAGTCTACTTCTAGACTATATATGTGCTTCTAGAGACACATCTTCCACTTGTCCTTGAATATAGATGTCAAACACAGGAACCCTCCGACAGGTACATGAGGACAAGTAGCTGTGAGTGGGTGGATCCCAGTACCTAACAAAACAGAGATTCACATGTCTTTGCTTATATGGACGAGCCATGAAAAAAGGTCAATTGCTATGTGAACAAGAATAAATGTTTTTATTCCTAGATAGAAGAAATAGGGAAATGTAGTGTTCCACTATAAAATTACTCATAAACACCCTGATTTCCATTTTTGGGGGATAGGGGGGAATAGGGGTGTCATTTAGCACATATTTAGATGTTTGACAGCTTTCAAGCAGGTATAGACATCTTTAAAACAAGTGCCATGTTGAAAAGTGACCAACAACTTCTCATTGAGAGGAATATCCTGCAAAGCATTTAGATATTATGCTGGTTGTTTATTTACTGCAGATTACACAGTGAATCCCCAGTTGTTTCTGGCATGATGCACGTCCATCCTAGAAAATTAGATGTAAGGATCCAAAACATTTTTTTCCTTATATCCTCCTTTTGCCTTTTTCTGTGTGAAAACAACGCGGAAAGTGATGAATTGTTGAAATCCATTGACATACTATACAGGTGAAAATCTGAAACACCTTCGTTATTGGATTTTCACTATGGAAAAAGAGCCATTTATTCAAAAATGTGACAATGGTTAACTAGTAAAAAAGACCCTTAGTTGATCAGATTCTACACAAGCACCCAAGACAGAACATTAATTAAGAAATTTTGCTGGATTAGTTCAACGGACCACATTAATTTTGATGCCCAACTAATCTATTGATACTACACATACAACACATGCGCCAGTTGAGGTACTGCTAAGTTGGAAATTGATAAGGAAAGGAAAGAGTAATAAGATTAAAAAAAGAAATAGTGATTAGTGACAAGTTTATAGAAAAAAAACTAAAAAATGTTCAGAAAGTAACTTGTTTAAAGCATGGACATAACAATATGTGATGAAAACAGTGGAACCATGTCAACATAAATAAAACCACATTGCTTACAAGAGAATTCTACAAATCTTCTACAGGAATCCAGATATACTATGCCATGCCAAAATCTTATTTTTTCATTTTTATTGGTCACATCTAATAATTAGAGTTGGTCATTCCCTAAGAAACATTTGCTGAAGGGGTAACCAGTAAATAATCACACCAAAAATATGCAATGGCAAGATTATATTTACTTCGAATGTGGAAAGATATAGGAGGAGGGGAGAAATGGTAACATATCCTAGCACCAGGGGCAGGAATTATAGAGCTTAGATCTCCATACTGCATAATACACATTATAATAATAAAGAATTACTTAGTTACCCAAGATTTAGGAAGCAATGAGTAAGGCAAATCGTCCATTGGCTGGATACACATCTCAATAAAATGAACAGAAGCCCAATACCTCTTGTGTTAATAGCACTAAAAGCTGAATCTTTCAGCCTCTTTGGCCAGTATTTTTTAAATGTCTTGACACCGATGAAAAACGAAGATAAAGTAACTCGGCTAGCAGAGATTAGTAATCTAAAGCAACAAAAATATATCAAATAGGGCAACTAGTGCAATAGGCTCAGCTATAGTAGGGTTTAGGATGCAAAGCTTAACCTATGTATGCAAAGACATTGTTTCTGTGACTCAAACCCACAATACAAAAATATAATTGAGCAATGAAACCGTTGCACCAAGGCCTCTCTCTAAGGAACCAAAATATGCCTTCAAAAATATTTCCAAGCATATCCTATGAAAATCTAACCTTTCGAGGCTTAACAGGGACAGCCAAATCAGTATTTGAATCCCTCATAAGATCTTGCATCAAGGACCCACTCCAACAACCAGCTGCAATTACAACTGCCTTCTTAGCATTCAAGATATAATTCAAAGTCTGAACACCTTCAACCTCACCAGTGCTTCCAGATCTGTACATACATACAAGAAACACACCAGTTACTCTAGGCTGATACCACCTCGTCCAAGAACATACATAATGCCCTTGATTTCAACATCAACTTCAGCATAGCAAAAGGAATAACAGTGAAACCTTAATAAACTAATTGCTGGCTCGTAATAGAACTCTGCATATCTCCCTTCTGAAGTAAATTGTCTGTTAGCCTACATATGAAACATCTATACACTACTTATACTACAGAGAGTAACAATCAACTAAAATACTTCAGAAAAACAGGAAAGCTATTGCTTAATGGTTACAGAAGAAATATTGAAGGAACCTTCTCAATGCATGCAACCATAAGTCGAGCATTCAATTGGAAGTCATCTGGTAGAAAGGCCGCCCCACCTTCCTTCCCAACCATAAGAGCAGGTTCCTCTACCAGCAAATCATTGCTAGACAAGAACTTTGCTCCCAGCCCTGCTTCTGATAGCTTCTCCACAGTTCTACTCAACTTCACTGTGTCATCAGCAGTTCTACCAACTAACAAGCTCCCTGTTGATAGGAAAACAACTGTGTTTCAGATTATTTCAATAGCATTTAATAGGGAAAAACACTCATTTAATAAGGAAAGTGTGAAACCCATGCATGTGACATGCGATTTTAATTTACTGGTTTGAGCATGCAATTGAAAAGAAACAGTCCAAGTAGCAATGAAAATTCCAAAATTCATAATTGAGTGGTAAAGACTAGCTCAATATCATTGAACACAACAAAGTATAGCATGAGATTAGTAAATTTAGTAATGCAACAATAGAAATTAAATAAGAGCAGGGTACATGATTTCTCTTTCTATCTCACTCATATCTATATTCATAGGGTGGAGTTCAAGACACACCATCATGAAAAACACACAGATTAATATCTATAAAACCTCACTACAGACAACTTCTCTCATCTCTTGTTTCCTCAACAAAAAGCTTTTTTTAGGACCCACAAAATCCACTAACATCTTAGAATTGAATACACCATCTGAAATAGATATTGAGCTTAACTTATAGCAGTCCCTTTGTTGACGTTTAGTTATTTTCCTAAAGATCTAACCCAAAAGATCTGTGGGGCACGGAACAGTCATAAGCTATTGAAAGAAGCTAAGGCACGACTTGGCTACTTCAAGAGCAGATAGCCACATATCTCTAACCCACAGTTGAGTGGTATAGTTATTCATATCCTTTGGAAACCCTCATCGCGACATCTGCAACTCCAATTGACCTAATTTTCTTAAAGACTACCTGATCATGATGATATTTAATAACAACTGAGATCAAGCGCACACCTGTACATCATATCAGGTGTGGGGCTGATTTCATAGGCAAAATTGTCTCCTGAAGCTGGAGCACATACAAGTAATATCCAGAACACTTGCATACGAAAATAAAGGCTTCGATCCATTGTAAACTTCCACATATAATGACATATTTATCTCTCTTATATTGGTAACCAAATAAAATTAGGAATCTGCTACAAATAAAAAAGGAAAGTATGTCCTTGGTGCATTCTTTACAAGTCAATGTATAAAGAAAATAAATTTACCAGTCTTCTTCCAACCGAGTATCTCTACAGGATTCATGCCTTGGTGTTGTATACTTTCTGCAAACATCTCCCACAGTTTACGGCTTCTCATTGCTAGCTCCCATTTGTCACTCCCAGGGGTCTTGTGGATCATCCATATGTAGCCCTGTCCTAGAACCACCTCAAAATGCCATAAAAGAAGTTAAAGAAATCCTACAATCAATCAGTACTCGGGAAAAAATTACATATGCACAAAATAAAAATACTGATTTAAATCCTCATATTTACTACCTGAGCACTCCTTTTTCACTTGCTAGGGCCAAAATCAATAAAGATAATGTACCTGCACCAGTAGCGCCGGAACAAGGCACAGCGGCGTCGACCACGGCGACGGAGAGATTCGATCCGATAAGGAATTGTCGGGCGATAGTCAACCCGATGACGCCGGCACCGACAATGACCACATCGAATGAGTGAGACTCACTTGTAGCGTTCAAACCGGAGACACGAACGAGTTCGGATCGATTTCTGAGGGTTTTCTTGCCGGAGGTTGAAGTTGAATATGATAGAGAATTATCAACAAGTTTTCGGCCAAAAAAGCTCGAGTTGGATATCAAACGAGCAAGCAAGTGCTTCCGAGTATTATAGCAAAAGACGCCTTTGGTGATAGGGTTTGAAGGGGTACGCATTGAAGTGGATGCCATTGTCGCTCTCCGTGGTTTCTGCTAATGAGGAGGCTACCTACTCAGTGCAATGCTTCTCAGACAAAATGTGGGCCCTTCAGACCATCTAATGTAAGACTGTGTTTATGGCCGTCTAATTATAATTAAAAACCCCATTATTATCAGCAACACGGGTCGTGCCCATACAATACCCGTGTATAAATAGGAGGGAAGAGAGAGAAAGGAATTCATAATCTATTCATATGTAAATAGAAAGAAGGAAACAGAATGAGTAAGTATTCGAATAGATATATTTAGGTGCTATAGGAGTTATGGTTAGTTTAATGTAGTTGATAATTTGGTTAAAAGAAAAATTATGTGTAATTTAAATAGAAAAATGAAGGGTATTATAAGTATTTTATAAGTGGATATCAAATCCCACAGTTTTCTTTGATCAATCGTGATAAAAAATTTCATTTGGAATTACGTTGGTCAATTTAATTATATTAGTTATACAAAGTAATAAAAAAAATTATTAATCATAAAATATATTTGTATTCATACCTAAAATAAATCACAAACATATAAGAGAGAAAAAAAATTTTAAGTACCGATTATAATAGGGGATAAATGGTGGTAGTGGTAGTGAGCGGTAGTAGTGATGGTGAAAAACGGTGATAGTTGTTGTGGGCGGCGACGAACGTAATGGTGATAACAATAGCAATAGTGATGATAGATTTTGGGGTGATGATAGTTGTAGTGACAATCATAGGAGACAGCGGTGGAGGACAACAATGATAGTGGTTGGCAGTGGTGGTGGTGGATTGATGGGTTATGGTGGTGGACGACGATGGGTGCTTGTGGCGATGGTGGTGGTACGTATAGTGGGGGATGGGTAACAATGGGGTGGTGGTGGTGGTGGGCGACGACGGGTTGTGGGTGGGTGATAGTAAAGGTAATAAATAAAAGAATGAGATGATGATGGTAATGGATTGTGGTGATGGGCGGCAATGGTAGCAATTGATAGTGGGTGGCGACAATAGTGGTGGCACTGACGATTGTGATAATGGTGGTGGTGGTTGTGACAAAGGTGGCGGTACTGGTGGTGATAGTGTTGGTGGAATGTTGGGAGTAATGGTGGTGGTAGTGTTGGTAGTGGTGGTGGTGATGGTGGGGTGGCTACAGCGGTGGTGATGGTAGCGACGACAATAGTGGTAATAAAATGTTTATAGAAAAGTGATTTTAAAAAAGAAGTTAATTTTTTTTTTACTTATTTATTTAAATGGTAAAACTATTTTTGACTTATTTAGAAGTAATTAAAATAAGTTGTACCAAACACTATTTTTTTAAAAAAAAATGCTTATGTAAAGTCATAAGTTTTAGAAAACACTTTTGAAAAGTAACCTTAATCATACCTTTATAGGGCCTATTTTTCCTATTAAATTTAAAAAATTAATATTAACTGTCAAATTAATTTTAAAATAAAACCTAAAATGATTTTAACCATGAAAAACAAAAGTCATTTTTTATATCTTTAACCTTTATATTTTTTTATATAGATAGATAAGAATTTTTATTTGAAATTATATTGGCCAATTACTTTCCAAACCAGCTCAAGCCACAGTGGCTAGCCGTTAAATTTGAGGGAGTAGTTAACGCAAGCCTAAACATCCTAAAAAAAAAATTGTTTTCCAGCCAAAAGAGATTTCAATAATTTGCTAGATATCATCTTTGTAGACACATTACTAACTTTTTCAGGTTCTTTGGCTTTTGCAAATTCTTAACAAGGGTATTAAAAAGAGTGTTCATGGGCCAAGTTACCCACGAGTTCTGTTATTCCGCCGGAAAAAAATTGGCCCAAAACCCGATAACCCCCTATAGTTGGCCCTGTCAAAGCTTAATATCCTTAAAAAGAGGGCTTGAATTTGCCCTCAAATCCATTACCCAAGTCAATAACCTGCCCGAAAAAACCCGGCCAAATAGCCCACTCGTTAAGCCCGGCCACCCACCCTTTCTTTGAAAAAAAGTTACACTTTTAGACCAGTAAATTTAAAACTTTGAAATAAGTCTCTCAATATCAGAATTTGAAAATTTAAATACTATAAATAATGTATTATATTATTTTTCATGTATTAAGTATATAAGTTTTAAAAGTTAGAGTAATGCAAATGATAAATAAGTGAGTATGTATCAACCTAATTAAGATGTATTTATTCTATTTGATGTAGTTTATCCCCTAATCAAAAATAAAATTATTCTTTATTTTATTTTTATCCATTTTAACTCTACTTTGATTTAAAAATATAATTTATACAACTATTAAGTTATAAAAATATTCATTATTTTTAAATGAAGTTGTACATAAAAAAGTCTACGAACAGACCTGCCCAACAAGCCCACCCAATAAGCTTGAGCATTAAATTGCAGGTAGCATATAACTCACTTGGGTAAAGGTTTGAACCTATTAGGAGTGTAACTTGGGTTGGACAACCCGATTTCAACCCGAAAAATTTAGGACTTGGACAAGAGTTTTTAATATTTGGGTATTCGAGTCCGACAAATTAAAAAAAAAATTATANATATAATTTATACAAATATTAAGTTATAAAAATATTCATTATTTTTAAATGAAGTTGTACATAAAAAAGTCTACGAACAGACCTGCCCAGCAAGCCCACCCAATAAGCTTGAGCATTAAATTGCAGGTAGCATATAACTCACTTGGGTAAAGGTTTGAACCTATTAGGGGTGTAACTTGGATTGGACAACCCGATTTCAACCCGAAAAAATTAGGACTTGGGCAAGAGTTTTTAATATTTGGGTATTCGAGCTCGACAAATTAAAAAAAAATTATATATATATATAAAACATTAGCACTTGGTTTTTATTTTTGTTCTATCGTTCTCTGTCTCTCTCTCGTTCATTTTCATTTTTGTTCTAACATTAGCACTGTTAAAAACTTTGTTAAAGTTATTAGTTGTTAATTTAGGTGAATATTATGTACTATATGTATTAGATTTAGAATAACAAGTCTATTTTGGATTCTACCCGAACTCAACCTGAATTGAACCTATAAAGCAGCCTGAAATCATTAACCCGAATTCAACCTGAACCCGCCCTGAATTAAACTCGAGCAGTGCTCGGGTTGAGTTTCTCAAGCCGAGATAAGGTTAGGGTTAGGGTTGAAAATTATCTACGTAGGGTTGGGGTAGGGTTGACTGTCCAACCCGCCCGAGTTGTACCCCTAGAACCTATATTACCCAAGTTCGGCTCGTAATTTTTTTTTACCAGCCTAACCCAACCCGACCAATGGACTGTGACGCCCCTAAAATCGGGGGTCCTTTATTAACCTTTTGATTACCCCTAAACTCGTGGAAATACCCGTGATCACATAACCCAACATCACGTCATTAACATCCCTTTTACTGGGATCACAAAAACATGAAGTTTTGGCAGAGTCTTCCTTGTACCGGGCACTCCCAAATGCATACCCTGTGTACATTTAATCACATGACTCATCCGAGGCCCAATCTACCATAATTTATACTCCATTATTGTTCATTTACATCATTTGTATAAAATGACACAAAGCCCAAATGTATGGCAAATCACTCTTAAAATTTCAGATTTTTGGAAAACATACCGGTAGGTTTGTCACCATCCTACCGGTAGGTTTTACTTACTGAAAAAGTTCTGCCGCAGAAAAAGTGGCATTCTACCTGTAGGTTTTGTCCACTGGATCACATCTACCAGTAGGTATGCTCAAAACCTACCAATAGGTGTGCCCAGACTTGCCTGTGTTCACCTGTTTTTGATTTCTAATCCATTTCAAATTCATCAAACTCATGTGTAATGCNCAAAACCTACCAATAGGTGTGCCCAGACTTGCCTGTGTTCACCTGTTTTTGATTTCTAATCCATTTCAAATTCATCAAACTCATGTGTAATGTAGTTTTTTATATAAAACACGGTTCATACAAGTTCTATTACATTCATTTCCTTATATTTACATGCCCAAAATCAACTTTCGCAAAAGTTTTACAAAATATGATTTAAAAGTCACAGGTCGACTTTTTTTCATCCTTGAGATCCCGAGTGAGAGCCTTTTACCAGTGTATAGCCTACACTGAAATATTTTCCCATAAAAGGTGAGCTACACTCAATAGAGCATCCCCTAAAGTAGCTATTTCCCCAACCTAGATGCATATGAAATGTCACATGCAATGTCAACAAGCCACAAAGCATTCCAATTAAAAATATGCAATTTAATATTGAAATTCACCATGTCATGTCATGATGTGAGATGAGACTCACTCATGCACTTCAACCCGAGCCTTCACGGGCTCCCTTCACCCATGCAATGCTATGAGTATAAAACTGGGTATCCCAAGGCCTAGCCATTGATGTTACACATCCAATGATTATTTAAAATCTCAAGGACTTTCTTTGGGTGGATATTTATGGACTTACACCAACGGGCACCCAACCGACATGAAATTCATGGACTTCCACCAACGGTTCTGCGTACACCGACACACTTTATGGACTCTACACCAATGGAGTGTGTATCCAATTATTGGGTCTCTCACCCGAGGGATAATCTAACCCTTCTTGCTAACCCCGACCCAATTTTTAATGAAAATTGTGCGACTCAGCTAAATATTCGATCCAACCTTTCTAAGTCCACTCATCATTCACCAAGTGTGGTGTTTAATGATGACCATGCACACACACCCACATAATGTAATGTAATTTACAATTGTAATATTAATATCATGTACAATATGCTATGAATGTCATATAAACCAATTCCACCACATATCAACATACTATATGGCAATTTATATCACAAGTAGATGATTACCATAATTTATCACAATGTCAATATATCAACAAACATATATCAACGTTTTATCCAACCACAACACTCAAGCATGTTATCATATAATCATGAAATTAACACCCTTAATTCTTCCAAATATAATGTAAATACATAACATGCCCACATAGCACAAATTTTCAAGAAATTACAATGTAGCAAT